TTTATTGGGTAGAAAAGCTTAGAATCCACGGGCTGATTTCTTAGACTTTTATCAAGGTTGATTTTACAAACGCTAACAACATTTACTCCAATTTTTTTCCAGATGTTTGAGAAATATCCAACCAAGATCAAGAACTATGGCATCTGGCTCCGTTACCAGAGCAGGACTGGCTACCATAATATGTACAAGGAGTACAGGGACACCACATTAAATGGCGCAGTTGAACATATGTACAATGAGATGGCTTCTCGTCATCGGGTTCGCTTCCCATGCATTCAAATCATCAAGACTGCAACCATTCCCTCGAAGCTCTGCAAACGTGAGAGTACCAAGCAATTCCATGACTCAAAGATCAAGTTCCCTCTTGTGTTCAAGAAGGTTAGGCCACCATCCAGGAAGCTCAAGACTACCTTCAAGGCATCCAGGCCCAATCTCTTCATGTAAAAGAAGCCATGATTGCTTTTTTTGCTTGAAGTTTACTATTACTGGGTTATGCTTGAGCCTTGATTCTGTTGGATTTTGCTAATTTTGTTGCGCCAAACTTTGCAACCTTATCTGATCTGTTTTATTGTTTTTGAATCACTGAATGCTTGATATTGGAACCTTGAATTGGTGCTTGTTTTTCATTGTTTCTTTTATATGGAATATTCATAATTTCTTCGGCAGTTTTAGTTCCTTTTTTTTTTTGTGAGATTAGGTCTCGGAAAAAAAACTGTAGAGTTTATAAGGTGAGTGATTACATATTTACATTCACAACAAACTGCAGTGAGAAAGTTGATTATCTTATAATTTTTTGAAATTGATGAGCAAACATAGTAAAATTTTATGCATTTGAATTAGAATTTGCAGCAAGAAGGTTAGATCAACTTTATCAATGCCCTTTTTTCATTTTTTATTTTTGTTTATATTTATTTTCATGCTGCTTTCATATAATGCATTACTCACAAACAAATAATAATAATAATAAAAGGGGTGAATGTCCTCTCTTGATCAAGATATTGAACTTATGAATACTTCTCCTGATGTTTTTTATCTTAAGTTAGATTATGTATGAAAGGGATGGACCAATGCGCCTTTAGCTTTGGAATAACGGCCTTTTGCTAAAAATTGTGTGGAGTTCATGAAAAGTTCCACTGTTAAAGATGAATTTGGACCAATGGTATCCAATGGCTTCATTTTGTTTTTGCTAAAAATAGGCAATTCATCTTCATAGATAAGATTGATGGAAATGAAATATTTTTTACTTACATCAACATTCATTAGTAAGTTGGATAACAAGTATGTAGTTAGGTAGGGGATTAGGCCTTCTCCAATCGAACTCCAAACACATGAATGACGTCGCTCGCGAACTCTAACCGAACGGCAAAACTCCCGGTATTTGGTTGTGAGTGAACAGTGCGACGTTAATATTGATGTTGCACTGTTCACCTGCTTTATTTTTCTATCTCTACTAGATTTGTCAAAGAAACGCGCGAAGGAGAAAGACGGTTACCTGGGCGCAAAATGGAGTTCAATTGGAGATGAAATCACGCCTTTTTTTATTACATTGCATTTTGGAGTAAAAATTGAGATTTTTGATTGGAGATGCCCTAAGGGACTTCCTGTCTCATACTTTTTTTTTAGTTAAGTAAACTTGTAGCTCAACATTTATATTAACAGAGAATGGGGCATCAATAGTAGAATTTTAATTGGTTTGATGAACTTGATAGCAATACCACAACATAAATTCTCCAAGTAGTTGAACTCCGTGAATCCAAAATAATTATTCAAAATTTTTTTGAATAACCTTATCCCTCGCGGGAAAGAAGTTATTAGAGTAACAATTGCGGGAAAGAAGTTATTAGAGTAACAATTAGAGTAGTGGTTAAGTAGAGTAGGCATTTAGGCCTAATCTCTTCATGTAAAACAAGTCATTATTGCTTTTTTGGATGAAGTTTACTATTACTAGGTTTTGCTTGAGCCTTAATTTTGTTGGATTTTGCTAATATTGTTATATATATATGTTGTGTCTTGGAATATTCGTGGTGGTAGAGAAATGTATAGTTTAACGTCTTAGCATTGTACGAAGATTCAGCACACAAGTAGATAAGATAGAGAGTAGCGTTCATAAGAGACACTAGAGTTTTTACGTGGAAACCCCTAAAAAGGGAAAAAACCATGGGGTCTGGCACAGTTTGAATGAATCCACTAGTATTTGCAGTCGATTACAAATGAGGCCATTCCTTAGGAGAAAGCCTTGGCTTGATGTCACAAATGTTCATCATATAGAGTGCATTACATGGTGGGAGTTACAATAATCAACATAGATGTGTTTGTTTGGTCGGTATGACCATAGTCGATTGGATAGAGGTTGGAAAGATCGATGTCTGGTGATGGAGGTCGGAACGACCATAGTAGGCGACGGAGGTCGGAAGGACCATAATCGGTAGGAGATAGAGGTCCGAAAGACCGTAGTTGGCATGACACCGGAGTCAAAAATACCATTGTTTGTTGATGGAGGTCGGAAAGACCATAGTATGTAACATAGGTTGGAAGGACCGTAGTTGGCATAAGACAGAGGTCCAAAAGATCATAGTTGACAGTAGACCGGGGTCAAAAAGACCATTGTCTGGTGATGGAGGTCAGAAAGAGCTTATAGGTGATAGAGGTCAGAAGGACTGTAGTCGGCAAGAGACATGGGTCCAAAATACCGTAGTAGAAGGGTGGTACTCCGGGAGAACTCTCGGTGTCAAGTGGTGGCCCGGCAGAAGTCTGAGTCTCATGTTGTGGTCCGATAGAATTTCGGGCCTCAGGTGGCAGTCCGTCAGAAGTCTGGGACGCAGGTGGCGGTCCGGCAGAACTCTGGGCATCATGTGGTGTCCTGGTGGAGCTCGGGGCCTCAAGTGATGGTCCGGCGGAAGTTCGGGCCTCAGGTGGTGGCTTGGTGGAGCACAGGGCCTCAAGTGGTGGTCCGGTCGAGCAACGACGTCAGGCGGTTGTGAGGGCCTCAAGTCGTGGTTCGGCGGAGGTGAGGGCCTCAAGTCGTGGTCCGGCGGAGTAACGACGTTAGGCGGTGGTCCGGCGGAAGAGAGGGCCACAGGTGGTGGTCCAGCAGAGCAGCGACGTCAGGCGATGGTCCGGCGGAGGAGAGGGCCTCAGGTGGTGGTCTCCGGCGGAGGAGAGGGCCTCAGGTGGTGGTCCGGCGGAGCAACGACGTCAGGCGGTGGTCCGGCGTAGGAGAGGGCCTCAGGTGGTGGTCCTGCGGAGCAACGACATTTTATATATATATATTTGAAATTAATGAGCATACATAGTAAAATTTTATGCATTTTAATCTGAATTTGCAGCACGAAGATTACATGACCTCAATCACTGTCCTTTTCACAAATCTTTTTTTTTTGTATGTATATATTTATTTTCAGTTACTTTATTTTTGAATGGTGAGAAATACATATATTTGGTAAAACAAGCCTTCATTTATAAGTAAAGATTTCTGTATAAGAAAGATTTTTTTTTTCTTTCTAAAAATATATCTTGATTTTTTTTTTAAATTTAAAAACGTTGATTATCATTCTTTAATTTGAAATTTTCAATTATCATAAATATTATAAGAATTTTTAGTTATTATTTTTATTATTTATATTTTAAAATAAAAATTCAATGGTTAAATATTTGTTTGACATAACTTTAATTGATTTTCTTACAGCAGATCTGATTATTCCTCTTTTTAATAGTAAACTTTTTTTTAATAAATTATTCTTTTTCAGATACACAATAATAATTTTTATTTATCCACTACTTTCATATTACTCTAAAAAAAATTATTTAACTCTTCAAATTTGTTTGTGGCCTGCTAACTACTTCGACTTTGTCAATGAAACATGAAGTATTATCTAACTCCTAATATTATAAAAGCAATACTATTAGAATTGGAGTTCCACATTAATCAACATTGGTTGTTTCTATGATCCCGAACTCTTAAGAAGAACTCATACATATCACATATATAAGACTCGAATTCAAGGCTGCTTGGTTGGCAGCCAAAACTCCTAAAAAATAGACCAAGGTGAGCGGCGTTAGCAAATAACTACATTCTCTATTTCAATTCTCGTGCTTTACTGATCGATCTGATAGCATCGACAACGTACGAACATGTTTCTGACAGGAATAGCAAGCTGCAACAATTCATAAGCTCAGCGAGAACAACCACTCGGTGGCATGTGGGGTTCATAGTGCCGCAACTTTTCAAGTTTGTAGAGCCGGTATCTCGTTTCGTCATGAGGACAACCTGCAAAGTTTATCTTCTATGTTTTCCGATCCCAAAGCAGCTGTCTACCCAGCCTAAACCTACCTAAGGTTGGATTGTTCACCTTCATTTTTCAGATTAATCTTAGGATTTCACAATTTTCATAGGCCGGTTCATTTGGTTGCTTGCAGTGGGATTTTTTTTTGTTGAAAAAATAATGAAATTTAGTTATAAAAATTCCTCAAATATAGTTATTTCTATTTTTATTTTTTGGCTAGTTATTCGCATTCAAGCCTTCCGTCCGTATTTAATGACGACTCTTCTAATTAGTAGGCGAACAATTACCCTCTTGGCCCCTAAAAAAAATTTATGTTTCAAATTTAAATTAAAGTTTTAAATATTGATACTTCATACCATATTTATCTATTTATATTTAGGACTCTTATTCCAATTATCATTTCACACCTCACGTTCGGTTTACCTCATAAATAAAAAAATCCTCAAATATAGTTATTTCTTTTTTTATGTTTTGGCTCGTTATTGGCATTGGTGGCATCCGTCTGTATTTAACAAACAAACTATTACGCTCTTTGCACCTATAAAAAAAAATCCTCATCAAATTTTCTCTATGAATGCATAACCTCTCTCGTCCTTCTCCTTCTAGCTTAACGTTGCACCTTCTTCCAGTCTTCTTTCCACCGACGCTCACAACACTCCTCTGTGTCTCGACAAATCCAGCAGCACCGAACCTCGCTCGAACTCCCCAATAGCAATAATGGCGGCGGCTGCTGCTGCTTCTCCTGTCGCAGATGTTAAGCTCTTCAATCGTTGGTCCTTCGAAGATGTGGAGGTTTCTGACATGTCAGTAGCCGACTACATTGCGGTGAATCCTCCGAAGCATGGTAGTTATCTTCCACACACTGCAGGACGGTTCTCTGTAAAAAGGTTCAGGAAATCACAATGTCCAATTGTTGAAAGGTTGACGAATTCTTTGATGATGCATGATCGCAACAATGGGAAGAAACTGAAGGCTGTTCGCATTGTTGAACATGCAATGAACATCATTCATCTCTTCACTGATACAAACCCAATTCAAATCATTGTAGATGCTGTCATTAATAGTGGTCCACGTGAGGATGCTACTAGAATTGGATCTGCTGGTGTTGTTAGGCATCGGGCTGTTGATATTTCCCCTCTCAGACGGGTTAATCAGACAATATATCTTCTCACAACAGGTGCTCGTGAGAGTGCTTTTCGAAATATCAAGACAATTTCTGAATGTCTTGCTGATGAATTGATTAATGCAGCTAAGGGTTCTTCCAATAGTTACGCTATCAAGAAGAAGGACGAGATTGAACGTGTGGCAAAGGCAAATCGTTGAATTAGCCAATTTTTCAAAAATACATGCAAATCCTCAAATGAAATGATTTCTTGCCCTTTTGAATTACATTTAATATTGTCTTATATGGTCTTAAGGTTGTACTTGTACTTTTCAGACTTTTTAATATTAAAATATGATTAGATATTAATCATCAATAATTGTTATTAAAATATTCTTGATATATCCTCAAAAAATTATATTGATCGGGCACGAATCTCGAGGCAAAATCAAGCTGTAAACTTCAAAAATTAAATTCGGGATCACATGAACTCCAATTTAAGCAAACTTATATTCAAACTGAACGTCTGGGTAATACGAGCTCAATGACACCAAATTCGACTCAATCCGAGCCCAAATGAGTCCAAATCAAGCACTCAAAGTGCAGTTGAAAAGTTCAAACCATAATTTGAGTTACCAAACGGTTTCCAAATATAATGTTCTTATAATTGAATCGAGCGGCTCGACGAGACAAATCCAACGAGCCCAAGATTGCCAAATTCCGGCATCATTAAGACCTTCAAATGTCTGATGAACGGTGAACCGTGCATGATCAAGAGATTCAATATATTATCAGCCGTCCATTCGAACACTCCCTATTTGCCCTTGATCTCACACCTATTTACAAACTATGCCACTCTATAATATTTATAAATAGACTCCTCATTTTTCATGAGAGGGGACCCAAGCAAGAAGAAGAAGAGAAGAAGTAGAGAAGAGAAGGATAGGTGGGAATAACTCCTCGACCACCGCCGGAGTTCTGCCTGACGCCCGAGTGACACCGGAATTATGCCGGACGCCCGAGTGACCCCAGAATTCTGTCAAACGCCCAAGTGACGCCAGAATTCCGCCCAAGTGACTACGGAATTCTACCTGATGCCAAAGTGACTCTAGAATTCGGCCCGACGCCCAAGCGACGCCGAAACTCTGCCCGATTTCCAAGAGACGCGGGAACTCTGCCCGACATTATAATTGAATTTCAATTCATATGTGATTCATTATAATCTGACCATCCTAACTTTTGTGGATGAGTCGGCCTCTTGTATCTCAAGCAAAACACTAGTGGAACTTTTTCAACTCGGCGTGACCCTGTGGTTTTTTCCCTATCAGGGTTTTCCACGTAAAAATCATGGTGTTGTTTTTTCTCTCATGTTTGTGTGTTAGATATCCGTACAACACTGAGACAGAAACTTTTTAACTCTATAGTCGCGTATATTCTAGCCGACAACAATTTTATTAGTTAATACTTTAAATCCTAAAAGTACTATCCAAGTAGCACATGAAAATTTAATTGAATTTAACCTCTACAATGCAAACATTTTTCTGGATTTAACACCATTGGGATTTAGTATATCCAAATTTAAAGGATTTACTAAATCCTACTTGAGTTTAATCATAACCGTATCCAAATAGCCCCTAAGATTCAAAATAATATCTTCTTGTGGTTCATCTCTCATAAACCCTAAAAATTCATATTTTTTTTCAAAAGAAAATTCCATTACATAAAAAGATTAACACACCATAAGACCAAAAGATGGCCACAAAAAGCAAGAAACCAAAAAACTACAACCATAAAACTTCCAAAAGAAAAATCATTTCTTTTTGGGTTTACGTTTTATATGCTTAACACTATTTTTGAAAAAAAAACCAATATTTGTAATTTGAAGAAGACTTAAGTCTAAGTTGTCCCTAACATCCAATTAAAATTAACATGTTAGAAACTTCCACTTCTTTCGAGGACTAACGATTGAAAAGCTTAACATCTGCGACAGGAGAAGCAGCAGCTACCATGATTGTTATTCTGAGGTTCGGTGATGTTGGATTTGTCGAGGCACAGAGGAGCATTGTGAGCGACGGTGGGAAGAAAACTGGGAAAAGGTGCAACGTTAAGCTAGAAGGAGAAGAACGAGAGAAGTTATGCGTTCATAGAGAAAATTTGACGATGGTTTTTTTTTATAGATATAAAGAGGGTAGTTGTTCAGTTGTTAAACACAGACAGATGCCCAATGCCAATAACGAGCCAAAACATAAAAATAGAAATAACTATATTTGAGGATTTTTTTATTTTAGAGGTAAACCAAATGTGAGGTGTGAAATGATAATTGGAATAAGAAACATAAATGGAAAGAGATAAGTATGGTATGGCATATCAATATTAAAAATTTTAATTTAAATTTGAAACACAATATTTTTTTAGGTGCGAAGAGGTTAATTGTTCAGCTACTAATTAGAAAAGTCATCATTAAATATGGACGTATGGTTTGATTGCGAATATGGCTCGAATGCGAATAATTAGTCAAAACATAAAAATAGAAATAATTATATTTGAGGAATTTTTTATAACAAAATTTCATTATTTTTTCAACCCAAAATAAAATTCTACTACAAGCAACCAAATGAGCCAGCTTATGAAAACTGTGAAATCATAATATTAATCTAAAAAATTAAGCTGAACAATCGAATCTTAGGTAGGGTTAGACTGCATAGACAGCTGCTTTGGGAAAACATATAAGAGAAACTTTGCAGGTTGTCCTCGTGACGAAATGAGACTCTACAAACTTGAGAAGTTGCAGAACTATGAACGTCGCATGCCACCGACAGTGGATGTTCTCGCTGAGCTTATGAATTGCTGCAGCTTGCTAATCCTGCCAGAAACATGTTCGTATGCTGGCAATGCTATAAGGCTGATCAGTAAAGCATGAGAATTGAAATAGATAATGTAGCTATCTGCTAACGGTTCTCACCTTGGTCTATTTTTAGGAGTTTTGTCTACCAACCAAGCGGCCTTTAGTTCGAGTCTTACGCATGTGATGTGTGTGTGAGTTTTTCTTAAAAGTTCATAATCATAGAAACAACCAATGTTGGTTAATGTGGAACTCCAACTCTAGTAGTATTGCTTTTATAGTGTTAAGAGTTAGATAATAATTCATGTTTTTTTGACAAATTCGAAGCAGGTAGCGAGCTAAAGATCATATGTGACGCAGCACTTTAGGAGGATATGAGAACACTTGTGCAATTTTTGAATCAGAATTTGTCATAATTAAATTTACTTTAAATAAAACAATTCTAATTTAACATTCATATTTTCCAATCTTTTTGTATGATATTTGTTTCATCATTTATTTAGGAGGTAAGTCAAACGTGAAGTGTGAAATGGTAATTGGAATAAGAGCCATAATTTTTTTTGGCATTCGAGTGCTTTAGTCATATAAAGAGATTCTCTGCTAGGGTTTTGGCATTCGAGTTCCCTCCCCTGTAGGGGCTTCTCCCTCATGGTCGTCGTTGATTTTCCCCCTCTAATCTCTTCTTCCCCCTCTCTCTCTCCCTTTTCCTGGAGCCTCCTCTGAGGCCCCTCTCGACTGAAAAAATCTCCTAGCTAGCAATACGAAAGTGTCTTCTAAACTTTCTAATACCCTCTCCTTTGTCCCCAACCATAATGCCACAACCTTCTTTACTAATGAACAATTCACTGTGCGAGCTCCGGAGTGGTTTCTTTCTTTGGTGGGATAACCGACCAAAAAAAGACTCTATTATGAAGCTTTACTTGCGGCGATCAAAAAAGTTTCGCAGCTAAAAGGTTCCTTGTCTCTCCTTACCATGGATGAAGGGTTTTTCCTGCTCAAGTTCAACACCCGGGAGGACTTTGAGCTTTCTAGGTCGGGCGATCCCTGGTTTTTCTTTGATAAACCGTTCATCTTACATAAATGGACACCTGATTTTGTGTCCAAGCTTAAAGAATCCCCCTCCATTCCCCTGTGGGTGAAAATTATGAATCTTCCCCTCTCCATTTAAACTCCCGAAGGTATCTCCAAGATAGCAAGTTGTATTGGTATTCCGTTGGCTGTCGATACCCTAACTGCCGCAAAAAGCTGGTTGACTTTCGCGAGGGTTTGCATTCATGTAACAAGTTCTTCCCCTCAACCTGATGAAATCTTTTACTGTGGATGGAAAAGTTTCTCCTCTTAAATTATTATATGACTGGAAGCCTGAGGCTTGTTCTCACTGTGGGTCAATCATGCATTCTCCCTCCCTCTGCACTTTGATTGAGCTCCTAAAATTCGAAATAATGCTCGACCTCGGGGTAGAAGCGCTAGCCGTAAGCGACGACCCACGGCTCCTCCTCGGATAACTATTCTAAAACCACCTATATATACGAACCCTCCACAACCCCCACATAACCCGATTGTACAGCCTAACATTTTTCTGCCCAATCTAAACTCCCTTTCCTTTGATTCCATTTCTGACTCTATTCCTATCTCTCCCAAGTCCAATGTAATTAGCACCAGCAATAAATTTTCTTCTTTGCCGGTCCATACGGAGCAGTACCAGAATGACTTGGGACCAATTACTGTGAACCAACCTTCTATTCTACCCAACCCCCTCTGTCTTACATTCCCCCTCTCACTTCCACCCCATCTCTTCCTCCCCCGCCAAGTTCTCCCAACTCCACCTATCAATCCTCTCTACTTTTTTCCTCCCTGATGACTTCCTCCTCCAGCCCGACTATTCTTCAAGTCCAGGAATCTATCAACCCAGGAAACTCTTCACAATCGCTCTAGTCTAAAGACCCTTTGTCTACCTCTAATAAAAGTTTCGCCACCTCGCAAACCCAATCCTCTAGTCTCCCTCAATCCAAAAACACAAGAGCCAAAATTGCCAAAAATGTAACCCCCTCAAACTCTAAACATTAATGATCCTCCCTAACCTTGCAGCTTGGAATATTTGTGGCTTTAATAGTCCTGAAAAAGTCTATAGGTGTAAACAACTTGTCAATTATTACAACCTTGAACTTATAATTTGGGGGATTTTAATTAGTTGATTTTTAATACTGGAGTTCACGACCTTACCTATGTCGGGCACTTTTATACTTGGTTTAACCAATGGGTAGACATCCCTATCTACAATAAACTTGGCAGAATTCTGATAAATGACAGTTGGCTGGCTTCATTTCCTAACTCTTAATATAGAGTTGGGGAACCTCTTTGTTCGGATCACTAACTTATCATTCTTTGGACCTCGAAGCATGAATTCTGGGATATGTTCAATCTCATCCTTCTTGATAGCGTAACTGTTGGAA